TTTGGGTTATCACTTATTTTAGAAGAAGGCATAATTGATTTCCCAGTAAGAAAAAACACTGCCACTTAAGAGAAAAAGAAAAAATGCAAGGGATGATGATGAAATGAACTGTATATTAGAATTCAAATTCATACAGCCTTGTTAGGAAAACTTCACTAAGTTGTCTTTCCACTTTTGTCTACAATGAGCTGTATATTTATGTGTGGTTCTATTTCTAAACTTCTAGCACAGTGGTTGATTTTTTTATCCATACACCAGTATTTCATTGTTTTGATTACTATAACTTTGTAATAATTATTAGAAAAAAAGGTAATGTTAACTTTGAAACTTTATTCTTTTTCAGAGATGTTTTGGCTATTGTAGTTCTTTGCATTTCCATGTGAATTTTATAATGAGTTTGACAGTTTATATTTAAAAACTCTATTGACATTTTGATTGGGATTGCATCAATTTAAAGATCAATTTAGGTAGGATTATTATTTTAAAAATGTTGAGTCTTCTGACCCATGAACATGGTATATGTCTCCATCTGTTTAATTTCTGTCAGTAAAGTTTTTAGTTTTCAGTGTTTCACACCTTTTATCAGATGTATCCCTAAACATTTTATATTTTGAATGCTACTGTGAAAAGGTTTGTTTACTAAATTTAGTTCTTCATTGTCGGGTTTTATTTCATTTTATAGAAATACAACTGAATTTTATATTTATCTTATATCTTGCAGTCTTGCAAACATCACTTCTTAGTTCTAGCAGCATTTTTGTTTTCTATTTTCATAGGATTTTACAAATAGATGATGGTTGTGTCAACTGCAAATGAAAGAGTGTTATACCATTCTTTCCAATTTGAATGTCTAACTAATTTCTCTTGCCTGATTGCATTAGACAGAATTTCCAGTATATTGTTGAATTTAAGTGGTGAGAGTGGATATCCTTGTATTGTTTCTGATCTTAGGAAGAAGGCTTTTAGTCATTCACTATTAAATGTGCTGTTTGTTCTATTTTAAAAATATATAGGTTATGCAGGTTGAGGAAGTTCTTTCTATTCTTAATTTGCTGGGAGTTTTTTTTTTTTTTTTTTTTTTTTTTTA